CATAGAATTGATGAGGGAAAAAAGGTGAGTGGTGCATTGAGGTATATGTGGAGTCAAAAAACATTATCTATGGAGGCAAAGAAGGGAATGTATGAAAGTATAGTAGTACCAACACTCTTATATGGGTGTAAAGCTTGGGTGGTAAATGCAGCAGCGAGGAGACGGTTGGAGGCAGTGGAGATGTCCTGTCTAAGGGCAACGTGTGGTGAAAATATTGTGCAGAAAATTCGGAGTGTGGAAATTAGGAAAAGGTGTGGAGTTAATAAAAGTATTAGTCAGAGGGCAGAAGAGGGGTTGTTGAGGTGGTTTGGTCATTTAGAGAGAATGGATCAAAGTAGAATGACATGGACAGCATATAAATCTATAGGGAAAGGAAGGCGAGGTAGGGGTTGTCCTCGAAAGGGTTGGAGAGAGGGGGTAAAGGAGGTTTTGTGGGCAAGGGGCTTGGACTTCCAGCAAGCGTGCATGAGCGTGTTAGATAGGAGTGAATGGAGACGAATGGTACTTGGGGCCTGACGATCTGTCGGAGTGTGAGCAGGGTAATATTTAGTGAAGGGATTCAGGGAAACCGGTTATTTTCATATAGTCGGACTTGAGCCCTGGAAATGGGAAGTACAATGCCTGCACTTTAAAGGAGGGGTTTGGGATATTGGCAGTTTGGAGGGATATGTTGTGTATCTTTATACGTATATGCTTCTCAACTGTTGTATTCTGAGCACCTCTGCAAAAACAGTGATTATGTGTGAGTGTGGTGAAAGTGTTGAATGATGATGAAAGCATTTTCTTTTTGGGGATTTTCTTTCTTTTTTGGGTCACCCTGCCTCGGTGGGAGATGGCCGACTTGTTGAAAAAAATAATTATATATATATATATATATATATATATATATATATTTTTTTTTTTTTTTTCAACAAGTCGGCCGTCTCCCACCGAGGCAGGGTGACCCAAAAAAGAAAGAAAATCCCCAAAAAGAAAATACTTTCATCATCATTCAACACTTTCACCACACTCACACATTATCACTGTTTTTGCAGAGGTGCTCAGAATACAACAGTCTAGAAGCATACACATATAAAGATACACAACATATCCCTCCAAACTGCCAATATCCCAAACCCCTCCTTTAAAGTGCAGGCATTGTACTTCCCATTTCCAGGACTCAAGTCCGACTATATGAAAATAACCGGTTTCCCTGAATCCCTTCACTAAATATTACCCTGCTCACACTCCAACAGGTGAATTTAAACCTGAAACTTTTTAGACGGAAATGTTTGTCACCTGCAAATGTATCCCCAGAATATGCAACATTGGCTTTGCAGAATTATCATCCACTCTACTGCATGGTTAAAGATATACCACTGCAAGACATACAAGAACAATTATTAATTACAATTTTTCATATACATGTATGTATATAATAAGAATTACAGTTATTAATAGTAATATTAATTCTTTCAAAATTCACAAAAAAAGGGTTCAGATCAACCTAACATACTGTGAAAAGCATTCTGATACTGGAATTTCCCCTCAAAAAATATTAGTTGTTATCACTGTGAAGTTATCCTTTTGCTTGAGATTTGGGAAAGAAAAACAGTTTCTTCCTGGTAGTCTCTCCCTTATGTTACCACCTACTCCAGGCAGCATCTCAAAAATATGAAAATGCTTAACCAGGTTAATCACAGATTAGCAAATCTGGATTCATTAAGATTCTTTGTTATTTTACACTCCAGCATTCTGTGGATTTAGAAAAGAATTTTCAGTTCTACTTTTCAGTGGATAAATGATGGTGTAAGCCAACAGGTAGTGAGAATAACACTACGTTTGCTGGGAAACATTTATTACATTTCCTCCAGGGCTGGACCTGACTGTGTATACAAAACATAGATGAATCACCATACAAGGTAAACCTCACTTGTTACCTCTCCTTTGACCTCTTCTGAGACTGACCTCAGGCTACTCATTATCAACCCTCAATATAACAAATTTAATAGAGGGGACTGTCCAAGTGTTTTCAGTAAATCAGAATAATGTTGAAAAATTGAAGAGATATAGTACTAAAGTACTCTACTGTGTATCTAACACAGTACTGTACATACAATTTATAGATCTACTACAATAAGCATAAAATAAAGAAGTTAAAAAGTACAATTTACCCAGCATATCTTTTATTCTTATGTCAGAATTCTATTATATCTAGGCCTGTTATATTGAATATTTACTATTGTATGTGTATTTTTATAAACTGGTAATGTCTAGGCATGGACGAAATGCAGTAATAAAGGTTTCCCTGAATATATAGTGTCTTTCTCACTTGCATTTCAGTAACTGAAATGTAACTATAACAATTTCTTAGATTTTTTTTTTTTGTCACTGAGATCATGACCTGGAGGTGTTAACATGACAGAAAGACTCAAACAAAATTACAGTATAACAAATTTGGAGTTTAATAAAAATGTATTGGAAAAGACTCACAATGAAATGGCTAGTCTTTGAAAGTCAAATTTAACAGTTCTAAATGCATCTGTAGAATACAGGTTCTCTACCTTGAAATTAATTAAAACTTTCTCCAGGAATTATCACTTCTAGAAATTATACAAAGCTTTGCCTTTCTATTGACTGAGAAAGAATTACTTCAAAATCTTTGGAGCAAGGCAGAATTTTACAGCATATTTAATGATCATTTTGCTCAAAAGTTAAGAACATCATTGAACTATGTTTAAAATGGCAAGTTAAATAATACAGTATGTAACTTCTTATTTTAGTTGTTAAATAAATCAGTAAAAAATACATTTTTATCAATATTCACATTTCACCTTCATCAAATATGTGCCAGTAACACATGCTTACCCATACAATTTTTTCACAAGATGCCACTAAATATTTGAAACACGTGGAAAGAGGCTCTTCAAGAACTGGAAATTTTTAATTGGGTACAAGGCAACAGCAGTAAAATATTTTTCCTGATGTTCTTTGAAATAATTAGTTCATGTAAATAAAGTTAGTTATTTAACAGCCTCTTACTAATTGAAAATCACATTACACAAGTCCAAAATGTCAAATGATAATGACTATTAGTGTGAGAAGTTGAATTGGAGTCTTCACAGCAAGTAAGAGTGGAGCTTTTGGTAAGCAATCCATTTTTGCAACACAAGTGATATACCTGCATATCTGAACATTTCCTGGTTATGTCTGGCTACCTCACTGCCAGATATATTAGCTGTTTTTTTTAATTTGGTGGACTGGCATACCACATGAACTTCGATATATTAGGAACCTGCTCTGTTGTACCTGTTAATAGTTCTGGGATCACTACCCGCAACCTCAAAGCAAATCTCATGATTAGAAAGGAAATATTACAGGAATAAGAACATCTAAACTGATGTATCAGAACACCTCTGCAAAGACAGTGATTGTGTGTGAATGATGGTGAAAGTGTTTTTCTTTCTTTCCTGGGGTCACCATGCCTCAGTGGGAGACGGCCGACGTGTTAAAAAAAAAATTAAGAAAATGTAAAAAAATGTTAAGTGCTGTACATATGAGCAAAAGTAGAAGCTTGTAAGGTTTATCTGTCTGGAAATATATGGATGTTTGCTCCAAGCTTACATCATGGCTTTGAACAATACCAAGTCGTTCATCAAAGAGGAAGAAAAATACAGAATAAAATGCTTAACAAGCAGCTATTATCCAGTGTTTTGACAAAAGAGAACAGAACCAAGGAGAGTTTGATATCCCCTTGCCTCTTGAAACTACAGTACTACCAGGCAGAGCCACATTACTTAGCAATGCAACAACCAGGTATAACCCTTTCTTTGACTCAATTTGCTTCACCATCTAAACTAGACTCTTCATCCATAGCCAACTCTTCCTAATCTTTCCCTAATGATATGGAGTATACAGGCTTGTACATATTTTGCTTTCCATTTTTTCAAAAGCCTTGATTTTACCCATGACCTGTTTCAGTTTTCCTAATCCTGTAGCTATGCTCTGTTACTGTTTCTTCTTAAGGTAGCCCTAAGCCCATATGGATCATGGAGTGCATGAAGAATGGAAGGTAATAAAGCCTGATCCAAGCAAGGAAAAAGTAGCTTCAGTTCTTTAAAGCAAGAAAACCTCCCCCCCCCAGTGAAGGGTTAAAAGTTTTGGTAAAGCTAGTCCAAGCATAACAATGTCTATCTTTTCGATATGCTTCTCTTCGCAAACATCCTGATTAAATGCCACCTTTCATCAAAATATTCAAAGTGAAGATTTTGCAGTTTGTATATACAGCAGTGGCCTGGCATTTTATGACTCACTCACATGGGTTCAAATCCCACCTGTACCATGGTTTGTTTTAAGCAGTGTATCTTCAGTCTTTTACCTCAACTAATGTCATGCTTTTTATCCTCTTTCAATCAACTGTATAGTCAACTACTGTAAATTGCAGCCATAAACAATTGACTACTGAGTTGCATTTTGGGGATGATAGAAAGACCCAACAGAAATACGTGGTCCATATAGTATAGTCTTCTATAAATTACAAATCCAGAAACCAGATTAATTGCATGTTCTTTGATATTTTCATTCCAGTGTTACACCAGAATAAACACAAGGTGGCAGTGGTGATGTTATTATTTGTTATTATTATTATTACTATTATTATAACTATTATTTGTTATTATTTATTATTATAATCATGACTCATGAAGGTGTACCTTGATGAAGGGCTCTTGAGACAGGGAATTGGAGCCACTCTACCCTTTAAATATAACCTAATTGCCACCCATTCCCCAGACACTACAGTATATGATCCCCTATGAGTTCAGCCTGTCCCCAAAAATACAACAAACATAATCGTTGTGAAGCATTCAATGTATAGGGGTAATACAGTGCCTGGGGAATAGGAGGCAATTAATAGGTTTGATTAGAGGAGTCCCATTCCTCAGATCAAGCCTGATTATGTACCTCCAAATTCCTTAGAACATAAGCCCTTCCTGGCATCCGAAGGTTTTGAACTAACACACCTTGCCTGAGGAAACACAGTTAGGGTTGTCGCAGTGGGGGTTGCCACAGCCATTGGTGAGTTGGAAATAATATTTTTCTATGAGCTGGGCAGCAGCACGTTTCATATCTCCATCTTGGTGTTGAGACACCCACGGGTCCCCTTCCTGTTGATCTTCACCATCTTGCTCTTCATTCCCAAAGCTTTCACCCCTGCAACAAAAATTCACCTCAGTTAAAAAGAGTACACTATTAATACAGTGGAACCTCGTCTTATGAATTCAATCCGTTCCATGACCTTGTTCGTATCCTGATTTGTTCGTATGCCGAGTCAATTTTCCTCATTTAAATTAACTGAAATGCAATTAATTCGTTCCAGCTCTCAGGAGGCATGACAAAATAATGCTAATATCAACTCTACGACTTAGATGAATTGTGATAGATAATTAATATGACATAATAAACAATATTAATAACATAGAAACATGATATACACTCTAGAATGAATAAAATAGGCTATAATATGGCAAGTGATGGCGACACCGGCAGTGGCAGAAAGCATCCGCCATTTACTCTCCCACTCTAGTATCTTCCCAGTCCATAACCCCACACCTAGCTTGTGGTTATCTATGATTAGTGGTGAGGTTGTCACATATGTAACCACAGGTATGGTCAAGACAGATGTACAGTGGAACCTCAAAAATCGAACGTATCACATATCGAACATTTCGAAAATAGGACATTTTTTTGGACAAACTGTGTCCTTATTATCGAACACGCCCCTATTTTCGGACCGCCGTGTACGGGACCTGTCTGCCGCCCGCTCTGTCCACGTCCCCGCACAGGCGCCATGAGCAGTCTAGCTTTGTTTATACTTGAGTGAACACTAACCTGCGCTCTCATTCATGCATTTTACGATTACTTCATTGTGTTTAGTGCTTGTGGGACTGAAATAAGCTGCCATGGGCCCAAAGAAACTTGCTAATGGTACCCCTGTGGTAAAGAAAGTGAGAAATACCATAGATGTGAAGAAGGAAATAATACAGAAGTATGAGTGGTGTGAGACTTGTTGAGCTTGTCAGGATGTATGGGAAAAACAAGTCGACCATCGGTTCTATCCTGTCAAAGAAAGAACAAATCAAGGAAGCTGATGTTGCGAAAGGTGTTAATATAGGGAGTGGATGAGGAGCCTTCTTCAAAGATTAAGGAGATTTGTGCCAAGTGGAATGATGTCCAAATGTTTGTGCAGAAGTACCACCCTGAGCAAGCTGAAATAAGCCATCTTTGCAACAAGTTCAGTGACAGAACCATGTCCCATTTTAGGGAAATGTTAAAGAGGTGCCAGAAACAGAGGACTGTGGACAGTTATTTTGTGAGACAGGGGCCCAGTGACTCTCAAGCTGGTCCTAGTGGCATAAAAAGACAAAAGGGAAGTAACCCCAGAGAGGGATTTACCTGAAGTCCTCATGGAGGGGGATTCTCCTTCCAAACCCTAACCCCAACTCCCTCTCTCTCCTCCTCCCTATCTTCCAGATGCCATCACCAATCTTCAATAAAGGCAAGTAAAAATGTTATTTTATATGTATTACTATACATAATTAAAAACTATAGTACTTGTTGTATGTAAAACTGTAATTCTCTATAAAATGTATTTTTTGTGTGAATATTTTTGGGTTTCTGGAACGGATTAATTGTATTTCCATTACATATTTCTTATGGGAAATATTGCTTCAAATTTCAGACTTTTCGAATTTAGAACTAGCTCCTGGAACGGATTAAGTTCGATTTTTGAGGTTCCACTGTATATATAGGTGAAGACATGATCACTGTGGCCACAATGGTGGTGGTGGTGGCGGCCAGCTGCCCCACTCTATGCTGCTGCCTTCTTCGTTTCTCTAGTTTTTTCATAGTTTCTAATCCCTTTTTGCTGATTGTACACAAATACGTACTGTCTCTTTGGGCGAGGCATTGTGTAAGAAATTTGTACAATATAAGACAAAATTACGCATCCCAAGGGTCTGCTGCGGCCACTCAGAACAGCACACTTCCTCTTCCTTTTGACTCTTGGTTGGCACTGAGATAGCTGTGGTCGTAGCAGCTGTACCTACAGCCACCCAGAGGGTTTCCAATTTCTATTTTAAAGCATTTGGCACAAAAATATGAAAAAAATAAATAAATACAAAAAATGTCTAAAAATGACAACATATTATTATTATTATTATTCTTAGTACGTATTATAATTATTAATTATCACATACGTATAATTATTATTATCATTATTAATTTAGGGAACTGGAGCACAGATCCAATTCCATAGATCAAGAGCCCATCACCATGTACATACTACTACTAATAATAATGATTAATAATAATAATACTAATACATGTACAATGTAAAAATAATGATACTGTAATAATAATAATAATAATAATAATAATAATAATAATAATAATAACAATAACAGTAAGGAGAAACTTCAAAAGGATGCCAGTAGTTGGCACCACCATCAGCAAAACATTGGTAACCACTACTAGTACACTTTTCACCTGTCTAGACTTAAGTAGTCTATTAGTATTAGGCTAAGTCTGCCTGAAATGCCTCAGCATGATAATGGCTTTCTGTGCTCCAATTATATTATGATATGTAAACACACATTGTAACCTTTGCAAAGAAATAAATATTTTATTTATTTAAGGAACCTCCCTTGAGGGGAAAGTTCGCACCCTGAAATTTCCTTCGTATCCAGAAGCAAAAAATCGACCAAATGATGGTTTGTATCCTGAAAAATTCGCATGGTGGGGCGTTCATAAGCCGAGGTTCCACTGTATATTATTATACTGCTATTTGGAGTTTTGAACGAACTAATTCTATTTACATTATTATCTATGAAAAAAATTGCTTTGGTTGTTGAAACGACATCTGGAACGAATTAAATTAAAAAACCACTGTACTGTACATTACTGTTATGTCTGCTTCTAAAGTTTACTCACCTGTTTAAATGAAAAAAGCCAATCTTCCTCCATAATTTTAGGACCTACCTTAATTGGTAAAGGCTGAACTGGTCACAAACAAAATTAACAATTGCAAGTGAAAAAAACTATGTTATTCCATATGGGTATGATTTTAGTAATATCAGTCATGTATGGTAGTTTTAAAGCACACAATAACAGTGTAAATGTTCTATTTTTGTATTTAATTAATGTGCATTTGAAAACTACATTTAATACTTGTAACATTATTGGTCAAATTATTTCTGCTTAATATTTCAGCAGAGCTGTATTTACTACTACTATGTGAAGTACAATATATGTACTGTATATTGCAGGAATCTGAGACACCAGCTGTTATGTATATACTGTACTACAGCCAACACCTATGACAGATATTTATTTAGGTTTAAACAATAGGTACAAAGGCTTTACATGAAGAATTTACAATGGTGTTTCTTACATATAACACAACAATAAGTAACAGCAATTTAACAAGGCCCAAACAAAGCTATTATAAGTTCATTCCACTGTAGCCCTACATTAAGAACATTTATAGTATATAACATATCCGAGTGTGTTCAGTACCATTACATCGTAAATTTCAGCTATTTTACTCTATATGCTGCTTAACATTCCTTGATAACGTATATAACACTAAGTTTATTTAGGTAGCACATTTCTCATACTTAATGAACGGAGAATCAAGCCTTCATCACGCCTTGCATTGAATAACCTAAAGTTTTGCATTTCCTACAGTATTATCATCATTATTATTATTATAAATAATAATAATAAATTATTTAACATTTCATATTTATGTGAGTAATCTCGCCAATGTTCTAAAGTCATCGATCGGTAAGGACACGTCTTCAATATTTTCCACTGGTGAAGTTCTCCCATACATAAATTTAGTAAAACTAATGGCAAGGACTGACCTAACCTAGCCCAGCCTAAGCCTAAATTATGTTTTTGGATAACATGTGGTTAAATTTTAAAAAGTGTCAGGCAAAGTTGGAAACTGCCTGACACTATTCAGATTTTTCTAGTCGAGTACATCATAAACTATATTTCATACCAAGCACAAGGCACTGGAAAAAGAAAAAAAAAAACCTTACTGTACTATCTTATTCTAAATAACTCTTAGTTTAGTTTTCAAATTTTTTTTTTTGTTACAGCAAAGCATATGAAATACAGATTCCATTGAGGCTTATCGGTCATTCCCCTATTCTGAGACCCACAGTAGCTGAATAATCCCTAGGTAAACTGCTAGGTAAACAGGGGCAAACAAAGAAACTGAAAGATGTGCCCATACATCTCACTTAATCCAAGGAACAAACTAGGGTTCTTTCAATTGTGAGCCTAAAGCTCAACCCCATTGCTACAAGTCACTTATGTAAGCTAAGTCACCTACAACTGCTACAACATATTCATAGTACATGTACACAGAAAACAGTTCTGCCTTGCCTAACCTCATTTTTGCATTTGCCTGAAATGTATTGTGGAAATGCTTTGGCATATTAATAACCAACATTAAGTCAACACTATGATAACTGCACAACCTCCAGATTCCTCCAAGAAATTAGCCACACTGCTATACATAATTTTTTGTTATAACATGACACATTTTATATACTAATTGGTGTCCGGCAAAGTCACTAACCTTTCAAGTCGCTAGTGTCAATAAGTTAACCAGACAGCAGATTCAGTGACTAGTTAAAGTATAACCACAGGTTATTAAGGAACATAATTTGGGCTTGGGTTTAGGTTAGATTAGGGCTTGCCAATAGTATGTATACTAAATGTATAGGTAAGAGAACTCCTCACTAATAGGAAAATATCAATATCTCTCTCTAAACCAATAGGTGACTTGGTAATGTCTGTAAGATCACTGGCTTTTTTCCATCTAACACCTACCTCAAAGCTCATGAACCATATCAAAATGGTTCCATGCCACACATGTGTGAAATATGTAATTAAATCACATATGTAGTAATCAGAACATTTAGTAAGAATACAGACAAGATATAAGACAATTGCAGCTACTGACAGATGTCATCAGCATGACACCTGAGTGGGTTATCTGAGTGAATAGAAGGGATGCCCCCACACAGCTACCACCTCCCTCCAGCCTGTGCAGTTCCTGACCTGTGATTTCTATTCTCTCTATCGGATTAACAAAGCCCGTAGTGGAAGAAATATCTTCTTAATGTTCTATTTACTGCATGTTTCTGTCTTATATACTCGGTGGTGTAAATCACCGTTGGTCACCTTGAGGATCCAAGTGTAATTTACAGGTTAAATTATGAATGACAACTGCATTTACGTGTACCTGTACCTTAATAAATTTACTAACACCACAAGACGTCAAATGGTATGTTTTATATTACAGGGTCTCTAAGAGCAAGCCTCACTCATGAGGCCCTTAATAATAATAATAATAACAATATCTTTATTTCTGCAAGTACATGTACAAAGTATATAGGCCTAGCTGACATACTAGGCAGAGCATTTTGGGCAAATTTGGTCAATTTTGTCCCAGGATGCGACCCACACCAGTCGACTAACACCCTGGTACCTATTTTACTGATAGGTGAACATGGACAGCAGATGTCTTAAGGAAACATGCCTTAATGTTTCCCAACTGTACTGGGGGATCAATCGGACCTCAGTGCAGGGATCGATCCCCCTCACTAAACCACCGCCTAAGCACATCCTCCCAGCAGCAATGTATGATCCTTTCGGGTTAAGCACTTGATTATATTTTTATTAGCAACTGAGCTACAGAACACAAGAGTCCCTCACTATCAGGCTCCTAATGGCAAGCCTCATACTCAGGGTCCACAGCGGTGAGCTTGACACCCCAAGAGGAACCCAGAGTGCCTAGACCAGACTAACTCATGGTTTGACACTGTGAGTGGAGGCAGGTGAGCCCCACTAGTGCCAACAAGAGGCAGATGACTATCATTAGTGGTAATGAGGGGCAAGTGAGCTTCACTAGTGCTAACGAGAGGCAGGCGAGTCACAAAGCGAGTGGGCCATAACAGAAGGTAGGAGAGCCATACCAGAGGTAACGAGACAGGTGGACCACACCATGAGACAGATGGACCACACCATGAAACAGGTGGACCATACCACAAACCAGGTGGACCGCATTAGCAACATACGAAAGTGAGATCAGGTACCTGGCGGCAGCCTCCTCGGCCCCGATGCCGTCTGGGGTCTCCTCCGGCGAACTCATTAATAACTTTCACTGTATCTCTTATCTTGGTGTGGGCGAGAGAGAGGCTGAGAGACGGGAATCACAGCCCCGCAATAACTTGGTGAGGCAGGAGAGCAAGGAGCGTGGCTAGCCGAGCCCAGGGTACAACATTGTCGCCATGTTTATTCAACTCAGCTGTGCAAGTTCATGCATGCCGTAAGTTTATCAACATATGAAAAAAAATTGACAACAGAGCCCCATAGCTACATTGAAACGAATCTAAAATCCCACACCTTTATTGAGACGTAATAAAATTTTTGCGAAGGTCATTGCGGGGGTTAAAATGGCTCCATTAGTTTGAATACTTCAAAAGTGCGCGATAATATTACTGCAAGGATCAACTGGACCAATGGTTCTTTCCCGGTTGCTTATTACGACGTAGATGTATTTTAAGGGCGCAGCTGGGTGGCAAGTGGTAGTAAGGAGCACAGGTGGCACAAAAACTGGCACTTGTGGTAGCTGGTGCAGTGAGAAATGGTAGACACCCCAGGCAACACCACCCACCATGACTAGGGCCTTCCTGCAAGATAAATATAGTTTCCTCTTTAAACTACGTTGCACGAGCCTAGTTCCTCATGCAAGCAGCCACTTGCAGTATATAACATATAATATATATATATATATATATATATAGTGATGGAGTGAATGATGGTGAAAGTTTTTCTTTTCGGGCCATAAAAAAAAAAAAAATAAAATATAATATATATATATATATATATATATATATATATATATATATATAATATATATATATATAAATATATATATATATATATATATATTATATATATAATATATATATATATATTATACACTATTGTTTATGGTTCAGTTGTGTAAGCTAGCTGTCTGCTCTCTTCTTTTTGGTATCCGGAATCTTGTAAGAATTATATAATAACAACAAAACCAGTCACACCAGACAACCACATCAAGATACACCAGCAACAACAGCAACAGACACCAGCAGACCAACCACAGCAACAGATACCAGCAGACAACCACATCAAACAGATACAGCAGACAACCACACAGAACAGAACAACCAAGGAAAACAAACAGCAACAGATACCAGCAGACAACCACAGCACATACCAGCAGACAACCACAGTCACAATCCAGCAGACAACCACAGTCACCACAGACAACCAGCACACCAGCAACAACCACAGTCACCACAGACAACTAGTCACACCAGCAGATAACCAGTCACACAGCCGACACCACAGTCACCAGCCAGAACAACACAGTCACACCAGCAGACAACCACACCAGTCACCCAGCAGACAAACACCCAGTCACGCCAGTAGACAAACACCAGTCACACCAGCAGACAACCACACCAGTCACACCAGCAGACACACCAGTCACACCAGCAGACACAACTCACACCCAGTCACACCAGCAGACAACCACACCCACAGTCACACCAGCAGACAACCACACCCACAGTCACGCCAGCAGACAACCACACCCACAGTCACGCCAGCAGACAACCACACCCACAGTCACACCAGCAGACAACCACACCCACAGTCACGCCAGCAGACAACCACACCCACAGTCACGCCAGCAGACAACCACACCCAGTCACACCAGCAGACAACCACACCCACAGTCACGCCAGCAGACAACCACACCCAGTCACACCAGCAGACAACCACACCCAGTCACACCAGCAGACAACCACACCCAGTCACCAGCAGACAACCACACCCAGTCACACCAGCAGACAACCACACCCACAGTCACGCCAGCAGACAACCACACCCAGTCACACCAGCAGACAACCACACCCAGTCACACCAGCAGACAACCACACCCACAGTCACGCCAGCAGACAACCACACCCAGTCACACCAGCAGACAACCACACCCACAGTCACATGAGCAGACGATCCACCAAACTCTCAAGCTAACATATGTACCGGCTTTGGAATAAAACCTTAAGAAAATTATGGCACTATAAGGCGTACTAAATTTGTGAATCTTAAAAATGTCATATAGAAGCCAGTTTTCAACACTTCTCAGTTTTCTTTCCTTAGCTTTATTTAAAATTCTTTATAATACTATAAGCGAAATGTACATATTTTCTATGAGCTACTAAATTTAATTTAAGCCCTAAACTCGAAAGGGTCATCCAAAGCTGCAGGAGATGTGTGAAGGGTAGTAGAGAGGGGCAGGAAGTGCGAGGATATAGCGGTTTGTCCCCTCAAGGAAGGTTCCTTGATGTTGGTGAGGGGCTCTTGATTTAGGGAATTGGATCTGTGCTCCAGTTCCCCGAATTAAGCCTGAATGCCTTCCACATCCTCCCTCGGGCGCTGTATAATCCTACGGGTTTAGCGCTTCCCCCTTGATTATAATAATAATCCACAGTTTGTAAGTGATGTCACTGTCATCTTCACACAAAACATACTGCTGGAGATACGACGTAAAATAAACTGCATAAGAAATCCTACTCAATACTTTGTCTAAATCTCATAATAAATAAGTTTATTATGCACAAGTACACATAAGTACAGTTTACATATGTAAACTACCTAGAATAACCCAAAAAAAGTAAATTTTTATTTATGAGGATTTGTTTGCCCTGAATGCATTGCATATTAGTGGCTTTCTGTTGTACCTACCAATGTTTTATTACATGCAAACTACAATATTTTGTACCAAATAAAGAAAAATGTTCATTTGTAAGAGCCTGGTTCAGACGGCCCTGGAGTCCTCATTAATCCTTAACACCAACAAAAACAAAAATATTGTTAACATGGTGTAGGATTTTTCAGGGTAAAATAAGACAGGTTACCAGTACAAAATAGTTACATTCCTGTCCAGGCTGTGGATATTACTACACTGGGGTGTTTGAACAGTTAAATAATCCAGCCTGGTAGTTGTGTCCGGCTCAGCCTGCGTCTCACAGGTCGGCTTAACATTTCCTGTTTGCTAATTCTTGATTTACTCTTTAATAATAATAAATTTTTATTTCCTTGCACAGCTTACAATGTGTGGTTTATATATTTTAAAATGTTAATTGCAAGGGTGGCCTCTAGCATGCCTAGGCATTTCGGGCAGACTAATCCTAATTCTTACTCCTAATCCTAATTCTTGACTCCTGTGGGTTTAGCGATTAGTTTTGAGTGTAATAAATAATAACTTATCTACCCGGTTAGACGTGTGCTGCGTGAGTGGATAGTTTATTGTGGAAATAAGTCACTGACTTTTTTTGGTTATCCTAGGTAATCTACACTATGTATAATAATTGTACTTATGTGTATCTGTACCGAAATAAGCTTACTTATTGACACCCCAGGCACATCCTATGAGTGGTAGTGAAAAAGGTTTATAGAGGTCACAATAGGTCAAGGACCCCAATGGAAATAAGTCACTTTTACTTTTTTTGGTTATCCTAGATAATTTACACATACATTACTAGGTATTATAATTGTATTTCTGTGCACTGGTATCTAAATAAAGTTACTTATCCATCTTTGTCAGACCCTACTGGGCATTGTTACATCACTAAAAAGAAATATTAGTCATTTCATATTTTAAAGTTACTTCATATAGTTAATATACACAATACAATATGGAATATAATCTAGAAAAATGATATTACCACTTAAAAATATTGGTCATAATTGTGTGGATACAACCTGTAGATTTCAGATATTTTTAACAATTAATTATTTTGCCTTATCCTTTAAGGTTTTCATGGAGGCGTCTCTGAAGGGTTGTACTTTTGTTTGTATGTCCTTGAAACAGTATCTGGTGAAGAAGTCACTAAATCTTCACATCACTGACATCAGCAAGTTATCCAGGCGACAGGCTCAGTGACTTAGTAAAATATAATCATGAGTTATTCCGTAGCTCGATTGCTAGCCCACTCAGCTCACACTGAGATCCGGAGTTCGAATCTCCGGTATGGCTGGAAAACATTAGGGATGTATTTCCATAAGACACCTGCTGTCCTGGGTGTTAGTCAACTGGTGTGGGTTGCATCCTGGGACAATACTGACCTAATTTGCCTGAAGTGCTCAGCATAACAAGTGACTTTCTATATAGTAGTATGTTATTGATATCAGGTAGGCCTGTTTACCTTGTACATGCACTTGTAGAAATAGATATTATTATTATATTATTATTAGTAGTGTTATAGTGTATTTTAGGTGAGGTTTGGTTCTGTTAGGATAGGTCTTGCAAAATTAGACTATGGTATATTGTCTGACTTTTTGGGTTATCCTGGGTAATCTACACATATTCTACTATGTATGATAATTTATGTAAATGTATATGTATGTACCTGTACCTGAATACATTTTACTTACTTAAGCATAACTCTTAGTTAAATGTACATCAAGGCAGGTCACACTGCCTAGTGAACATTGGTACAGTATATACATATGCAATATTCTGCTTAATAAGACAATTGAGCAAACACATTGTTGCTTATTTGTTTAACCCTTAAACTGTCCAAACATAGATCTACATTCACATGCGTAGTGCTCCAAAAGCAGATCTATGTTTTTTTTTTACATATTTTCAAATATAAAAAAAAACGTAGATCAAAGTTTTTTTACACGCTTTCAAATGTAAAAAAAAAAAAAAGATTATTTTTTTTTACATACTTTCAAATGTTGAGAAAATGTAGAGCTACGTTTGGACAGTTTAAGGGTTAAATCTTGTTGGCTGCATTGAAGTCAGTAATTGATTAATGCAAGTACAATACCAGTTTTCTGGCAATGGATGATCTGGCACCATTTTTAGTCCAGACAAAATTATGATGGGGGAAGGGGGGCACAGATAGCATCATGTGTATCCTACATTTACATTGTTTACACTGCATTTGTTGGTGATTAGCCCTTGATTTAACCCTAGCTATATAGATGGATTCTTAGAATGATGCAGATGTCATTGGTGGTAACAAGCATAAACACCAGTCCATATTGATACAAGATAAAAAGAACCGTAATAAAGTTGGTAGAATTACCGACAATATGTATTACTTTTGTCACTACCACTACTACTACTACTACTACTACTACCACTACCACTAGTGAACATCGAAATGGTACCTCACTAGTATTGCACCTCACTCTGAGCCTTTATATACCCTCTGTGTCCGTGTATTGTTTGTAATGGCTTGATAAAGCTCCTGGAGAGCGAAACGTTGCCACAATAAATGTCACATTAGTTGCACTTGTGTCCTTTTACTTTACATAAAAAGAATCGTTGAAAAAACTGAACCATGGTGTTTACACACACAAGCTGTATGACATCGATGATATTGGTTCATCAACTCTTTATGATATGAAGAAAAAATGGGGTCACAATATTAAAATTCTATACAGAGATTGATTAAATGCAGCCAGTGAGCATTAGAAAAGTCCTTGAAAGGTAGGAGTACTGAGCATGATTGACAACAGTGATGGAGTGGACTTGTCAGGTAGCATGTTAATGAAATAGGCTCAGTTGTTCTATGAAGAGCTTAAACTAGAATTTGAGCATGACTGTATTGAAGGAGGACTTCAAAGGTTTAAGAAGCATCATGAAATTTCCATGTGTACATTGTCTAGAGGAAAATGTTCCAAAGACCATGAAGGAGCTATTGAATATGTGGATGGAAGGTGTGTATTAGTGAGTCAGAGGTGTATTATTGAATTATTATTACATGACCTCTGTTGGTCCAGCAAAATCAGTATTCTGGGAAGCCAGGGTGATTCTATCATGACAAACTTAGCTTGAGGTTACCAAAAATGGTTATATTCAGAACCACAGAATGGTATGCAAGAAGGATTGCTTTGGTTGCATCAGAAGTTTTGCCAGTCTTTATGAAACTTTAATCTATGAGGTTTTAACTCATTATTTTTGTTTATTTTCTGTCTATTTCAGACATGTCGGATAATGAAGTGGAAAAGTTTGAAATTACTGATTATGACCTGGAAAATGAGTTTAAAACCTCACGCCCAGGTCGGAGGCAGACCAAGGAACAACAGATTTATGGTATCTGGGCACAAGAAAGTGGCGATGAAGAGGTAACTTAGTCTTATATTTAATCTTATTCATATTCATCTTTTTGTTTTCTTTATTCCCTACATGCCTCTCTCTTATCCATTTACCTGCATCACTACCTCTATGGTATACCTCTATCTCTGACTGTTAATAAGGCACAAGTACAGTCTAGCAAAGTGATAAGGGCACCAGTGGAAATGTATCATACCTTTAAACTTTTCTGGGTTATCCTAGGCTAATTTTACATTATGTATCATTATTGCATACCTAAAACATTGATGTGTCCTCAGACCCATTGTACAAATTTTTATTACAGCAGTGTACTTACTGTACTTGTAGGGTTGGCTCCAAGTGGACACAAAGGGTAACTGAAGCCCCCAAAGTTCCATTAGCCCCACCCCCTTCCCCAAGTAAAAATAATAATAATAATAATTATAATGTTGCATCTAGCTCCTATTTCCAGCCAGAATGTCACCCCTAATTCCCTCCTGTATAAAACTTCTGGAGCTGCCCCTGTATATGTACTTATATTTGAAGTGGTGCGTTGAGGTATATGTGGAGTCAAAAAACGTTATCTATGGAGGCAAAGAAGGGAATGTATGAAAGTATAGTAGTACCAACACTCTTATATGGATGTGAAGCTTGGGTGGTAAATGCAGCAGCGAGGAGATGGTTGGAGGCAGTGGAGATGTCCTGTCTAAGGGCAATGTGTGGTGTAAATATTATGCAGAAAATTCGGAGTGTGGAAATTAGGAGAAGGTGTGGAGTTAATAAAAGCATTAGTCAGAGGGCAGAAGAGGGGTTGTTGAGGTGGTTTGGTCATTTAGAGAGAATGGATCAAAGTAGAATGACATGGAAAGCATATAAATCTATAGGGGAAGGAAAGAGGGGTAGGGGTCGTCCTCGAAAGGGTTGGAAAGAGGGGGTAAAGGAGGTTTTGTGGGTGAGGGGCTTGGACTTCCAGCAAGCGTGCATGAGCGTGTTAGATAGGAGTGAATGGAGACGAATGGTACTTGGGACCTGACGATCTTTTGGAGTGTGAGCAGGGTAATATTTAGTGAAGGGATTCAGGGAAACCGGTTATTTTCATATAGTCGGACTTGAGTCCTGGAAAATGGGAAGTACAATGCCTGCACTTAAAGGAGGGGTTTGGGATATTGGCAGTTTGGAGGGATATGTTGTGTATCTCTATACGTATATGCTTCTAAACTCTTGTATTCTGGGCACCTCTGCAAAAGCAGTGATAATGTGTGAGTGTGGTGAAAGTGTTGAATGATGATGAAAGTATTTTCTTTTTGGGGATTTTCTTTCTTTTTTTTTGGGTCACCCTGCCTCAGTGGGAGACGACCGACTTGTTGAAAAAAAAAAAAAAAAAAAAAAAATTTGAAGATTTTACAGAGTAGAACTTATACAATCTTCTCCTTAAGGAATGTTGTATAACAGAGAAGTGAAAACCATATCCATAATGCAAATGTACTTAATTCACAACAGACCCACATATTGGAAATTAGAAATGGACCTCATCTCAGTCTGTCCTAGACCATTATCAAGTTATAAGATCAAAAAAGGGGAATAGCCAGAAGTTAGGCCAGGACAATTGAAGTATCCAGTTTGTAGGATAGGTGTGAATTATATTCCATCCATGATATTGTGACTTTAATTCTTTATGTACTGTACATACCTTAAATTTGTACAACTGGTACATACCTACTGCATAACTTTAATTTTCCTTTATTTTTTCCACTCCTGTCATCAGAATTGCAGTTACAACACAAATTACGTGCAGTATCTCAGTTCAGTAAATGAAATCAGTATACGTATTGTAAAATCTCTGAAATTCAGTGTACAGTAATCCATTTCCTTAAACTGTTTTATTCGTTTTTAAGTAGTTTCAGCTTCCACTGCTAATTACAGCAATTGTAAGTTTACAAAACATTTAATGTACAGTACTTTTCTTTGCATCCCTATCCTTATTATCATTGAGCAGCAAATCCCTTTCATTGTCAGTATGTTGGAGAACTTTGCTTTGGAATATTTATGTAACCATAACTTTGCATTAGCAGTAATTATTTTTACATAATACTGTACTGTCATAGTTAATTGCATGAAAAGCAGATTATAGAGTATATCTATAATACATTACAGTGGTCCCTTGATTTACAATGGGCATGAGTTTTGATAATTTTGAGTTCTGATTTAACCTCATAGAGAAATTAAGTTTTGAGTTATGATGATAAATTTGAGATGTTATATGCATAAAATGGTACGACTGTTGTGGGTCACATCCTGGGGAACAAGATTAACCTAAGTTGCCCGAAATGCTCTGCATAACCAGGGGTTTTCTATATACAGTAGAATGCCAGTGATGTCAGCTAGGTTTGTAATAGTTGTAGAAATAAAAATTATTATTATTATTATTCTTTCTTCTTTCAACAAACTGGCCGTATCCCACCGAAGCAGGGTGGCCCAAAAAGAAAAACAAAGGTTTCTCTTTTTAACTTTAGTGATGTATACAGGAGAAGGGGTTACTATCCCCTTGCTCCCAGCATTTTAGTCATCTCTTACGACACGCATGGCTTATGGAGGAAGAATTCTGTTCCACTTCTCCATGTAGTATTATTGTTACTGTTATTATTATATTATTATGTTTGGTACATGTGAGTGGGCCTCAGCCAACCAGTGATGTAGCTTGCCTCTTGGGCAATGTCTGAGTCAATAGGAGTGGGGGGTGGATCTTAGCCAAAGAGCGATGCAGTAGCCTGCCTTTTGGACAGCATATGAGCCAATAAGAGTGGGAGGGAGTCTGTTAGGGTGGCTTAGCAGCCAATCAGCAATGGGGATGAATGTCTCTGGTAGAATCTTAGCCAGTAGCAAAGTTTGTACTACAGTTTATTGTTTACTCTTCAGTTTGAAGCTATCATGGGTGTTTCTTGTACTAACTCTGGATTATTTACATTTCATATCTGCATTTGTGTTATGACTAGACCATCTTTTGCATTAATAAGTCATTATGTGTGTAAAGGTAGAAAGTTGAAAGTGAACATAGAAAAGAGTAAGGTGATGAGGGTATCAAATTATTTAGATAAAGAAAAATTGGATATCAAATTGGGGAGGAGGAGTATGGAAGAAGTGAATGTTTTCAGATACTTGGGAGTTGACGTGTCAGCGGATGGATTTATGAAGGATGAGGTTAATCATAGAATTGATGAGGGAAAAAAGGTGAGTGGTGCGTTGAGGTATATGTGGAGTCAAAAAACGTTATCTATGGAGGCAAAGAAGGGAATGTATGAAAGTATAGTAGTACCAACACTCTTATATGGATGTGAAGCTTGGGTGGTAAATGCAGCAGCGAGGAGACGGTTGGAGGCAGTGGAGATGTCCTGTCTAAGGGCAATGTGTGGTGTAAATATTATGCAGAAAATTGGAGTGTGGAAATTAGGAGGAAGGTGTGGAGTTAATAAAAGCATTAGTCAGAGGGCAGAAGAGGGGTTGTTGAGGTGGTTTGGTCATTTAGAGAGAATGGATCAAAGTAGAATGACATGGAAAGCATATAAATCTATAGGGGAAGGAAAGAGGGGTAGGGGTTCATCCTCGAAAGGGTTGGAAAGAGGGGGTAAAGGAGGTTTTGTGGGCGAGGGGCTTGGACTTCCAGCAAGCGTGCATGAGCGTGTTAGATAGGAGTGAATGGAGAGACGAATGATACTTGGGACCTGACGATCTGTTGGAGTGTGAGCAGGGTAATATTTAGTGAAGGGATTCAGGGAAACCGGTTATTTTCATATAGTCGGACTTGAGTCCTGGAAAAGGGAAGTACAATGCCTGCACTTTAAAGGAGGGGTTTGGGATATTGGCAGTTTGGAGGGATATGTTGTGTGTCTTTATATGTATATGCTTCTAAACTGTTGTATTCTGAGCACCTCTGCAAAAGCAGTGATAATGTGTGAGTGTGGTGAAAGTGTTGAATGATGATGAAAGTATTTTCTTTTTGGGGATTTTCTTTCTTTTTTGGGTCACCCTGCCTCGGTGGGAGACGACCGACTTGTTGAAAAAAAAAAAAAAAAAGTCATTATGACCCATAGTGTTTAGTAAACAGGCCATTTTTCTGAAGATCAAGCAAGAAATTAGTGCATATGCATGTGAGTATGGCTTTCTGCAATCAGTCTTCTCTGCTATTTTCAAGTAAATAGAAACAAATTACCATAAAATCATCTATTTTCGGGATTTGAGTTAAGTTACAATAGTTTTGATGTGTGATATGTCTTCTGGGATGGACCATTGTGTATATCTTTTTTTTTTTATTTACATTAAACTGTATCTATCAACATTGATTATTTACAGGAGGGAGAGCCAGAATCCTTGAATGTTCCACTACCTCGGGCTCGTGTCCTTCGAGGGGGACTCAACTTTGTCTCAGGTGGTATACAGCAGTCAGGCAAGAAAGATGACAAGGACAAGAAAGAAGGCTCAGATGAAGACTCTGAATCAGAACTTGCGCCAAGACCTATGTTTGGTGCTGGCGCTGACTCTAGGTAGATATAAAAAAAAATTCATGTTTCACAACTATAGTACCGGAACTGGAACAGTGTGAAAATACTGACATTATTTTTATTATTATTATGGTGGAATAAATGATACTTAGTTGCTGTGAATACCTTTATTAATGACAATGTTTCATCCTTTATAAATGAGTGTTTCACCCTTGATGTTGAAAACCTTTAATTAGTTTCTAAATGACACATTTGTAAGTGCTGATGTGTATAAGTTAAGGGATGACCTGTATTTGTTGTCATTTATTTTTCTAAGCAAAATTGTCTTAAGATAAACATTTAATAATATTTTGCTTTATTTCAGTGATGAAGAAATTACTGCAAAAACACAGCTCCCATCATCATTTGTAAGCAAGAAATCCTCAGATTACTCTTCATATACCTCATCAACTTCTAAACCAAGAGATATTGCAGGAATACGTCGCAGTGGTACGCAAGGTGGAGGTAAACCTGGTCTGCTGGGTAGTGGTATGGCAGACTGGGAAAAGTATACTTCAGGCATTGGAAGTAAGCTCTTAAAGAAGATGGGCTTTGAAGAAGGCAAAGGTCTTGGTAAGAATTTGCAAGGTATATCGACTCCTGTAGAGGCAAGCAAGCGAAAGGGAAAGGGAGCTATTGGTTACTATGGATCAGAGAGGACTGAAAAGTCATTAAGGACTTTCCAGTACATGATTCAGATGAAGAAGAGAAAGAGAAGTTCAAGGACCTCCTTCAGCAGTGGAAGAAGACTGGCAGCAAGAAAAAAATAAAGTATGTATACAAGAGTGCAGAAGAAGTTATTCAAGAAGGCAAGACAAAAAAACTGAAGCCAACAGATGACAGTCATATCACTAGAACTAAAGTTATAGACATGACTGGTCCAGAAACTCGAGTTTTAAGTAGTTATCATGCCATTGCTGGGCAGAAAAATTTTGTTGATGAATATGAAGAAGATAAAAAGAAGAAATATGAGCATTTTGATTTGCCAGAACTTTTGCATAACCTACAGATGCTCTTAGAAAATTGTGAAGATGACATTGTCCGTAATGCCCGGACTTTAGAACGAGAAAATGACAGAATTGTTCACCTTAATCATGAAAGGGAAAAATATGAAAGTTTAGTAGACAGGGAAAAGAAAGAACTTGACAGTCTTGACCAAGCTCTTGCTCTTGTAGAAGGACTTGAGACAAGGCATAAAGAGCAGACACTAAATCTCAGTGATGCTACAGCAATATTTACGGAATTAAAATCGGATTATCTAAAAATATATAACACTTTTGAAATCCCATACTTAGCACCCACTTATGTGACACCTCTCTTAAAAGAGTTACTCAGTACATGGAATCCTTTAGCTCAGCCAACAGCTCACAAGGAAGTATTTGCTACATGGCAGCAGTTGGTAGATTTGGGTGGAAATCAGCATCAACAACCAGATACCACTGTACCATTAGATCCTTACCACCATCTGGTATGGGAGACCTGGACTGCTGCTGTAAGATCCACAGTCATGGGCCCTTGGGAACCACGAGACTGTGGTCCACTACTTGCTGTATTGGAAGCATGGAACTATCCCTTGGTTCCTGTATGGATCCAAGGACACTTGCTTCAGCATGTTATTTTACCCCGTATCACACGTGCTGTTCATAATTGGAATCCACTTCAAGATACTGTGCCAATTCATACTTGGCTTCATCCCTGGCTTCCTCTGTTAGTAGATCATCTACAGTCTGTGTACCCTGTAATACGTCAAAAACTTTCAGCTGCTCTTGTTCACTGGCACCCAAATGACCGCTCAGCCAAAATGGTTTTGCAGCCATGGAAACGAGTTTTCAGTGAAATAGCAATGACCACACTAATTCAGTCCAACATTCAGCCAAAGTTAGAGTCTGCACTTGTTGAAATGCCCATTAATCCCCACAATCAGAATTTGGATCCATGGCATTGGTTCTTGGATTGGGATGATTTACTACCACCACAGGTATCATTAGATATGTTGGAACGTTGCTTCTTTCCCCGTTGGTATCAGGCATTGGCCACATGGCTTTCAGCTAATCCTCCCCATCCTGATGTTATAGCATGGTACAAAGGATGGCGAGATCTTATACCAAAAAGTGTTGCAAATCATCTTCAGATACGCCAAAAGTTTCAGCAGGCCTTGGAGGTGTGCAGTCGTGCTCTGAGCTACCAACCAGGTGCCTCTGATCAGTTCAGTCTTTTGTTGGCTGGTTTAGACAAACTGAGTGAACCTCCACCACCACCTCCCCTAGGTTCTCCCCCTAGACAGCGATCCAAAGATTGGGCAGATATCATTAGTAGTGCACGAAGAGAAACCCTCAGTATGCGAGAGGTTGTTGAGCGTAGATGTTTAGAACATGGCACTGTATTTGTTCCAATACCTGACCGAAAACATGAAGGAAGACCAGTGTACAGATGTGGTAAGCTTAACATTTCCTTCAATAAAAACATCATTTATGTACAGACAGAAAGAGGATGGATGCCCAAAAGCCTTACAACATTATTAGATGATGCTTAAAAGTTCACTAGGTTAATTTTGGTTGTAAAATGACAAAAGTGATACATATTGTATAATATTTATATTTGTGATCACAATGATATAATATTGTAATGTATCAATTTTTACACTGCCACTGCTGTTAAATTTTTTGTGTTTAAACTCTTTGCCATCATTATTAGAATCCTCACATTTTGTATACAGTAATTTAATTTCAGTGACACTTAAAATTTATTGCACCCTCTGTGATGAACTTTGGCATGGCTTACCATTGTTTTCAATGGTAGGCTGTGAAGTTAAACGTGAACTTAAAAAAATTAGATGCCTAAACCTGAGCATTAAGACATTCACAGTTATTGTTAGATTTTTAACTTGTGGAATCATCATAGGGAGAGGTGACACCATGTAGTAAACGCATTTTACGTACCGACACACGAAATCGTAACACCATTGCAAACAAACCATGGAATGTGTGGGGATTGAACCCATGGCAAGCGAATCATAAAACTCCAGGCCAGTGCGTAAGCCACTCAGGTTACGCACTGGCCTGGAGCTTTATGAATCCTTGCCATGGGTTCAGTCTCCATCCATTTCATGGTTTTTATTGACTTACTGGTTTTTGCATTATGGTTGACTGCAGCAGATGTTTGCTGATATGCATTTGTCTGATTACTCTCTGGCTGAAGAAATTAGATTTTTTAATATGAAAAAATAGATTGAAGTAATGAGTGTATGAAAGCATTAATTACAGAAAGAAATATAAAAAGGAATTGTGATCAATGCAAAATAAAACAGCTGACAACTAATTGTATCATGACAGAGGTGAGTTTTTGACCAGTTTTCCAAATGTTAATATAGTTACTGAAAGGGTTTGTAAAAATAAAAGCAAATTTATAGTTGGAGAAAAAAATATTGGCTTTATTTCTTGTAGTCTTATTCTTCTGCCATCTTAGAAATTCATTAGGTAACTGAGTCTTTCTGCTGCTTTATATAAAGATTTTATTCTTTTGGTTGTTAATATTGTACAAAGAAAAGAAAATTAAAAAAAATTTTTGTTTTTTATGTCAACCTCGACCATGACCCTAAAGCACCTTACATGAGTATAATAATAACCTCCAGTGGCCTGTGTAAGAAATGCTAATAATTATCACCATAATAAACAACTAATTTTAAATACAATTTAATCCATCTCATAGTACTGTACTATGGCTTTGAGCTTGGGGTCCATTATGTACGTACTATGTATTAAGTTATGAGTTCAGCTGCCTCAGATAAGCTGTGATCGGTAAATTCTGGCCTAAATATGAGAGAATGGGTCTGTGCAATGAGTATGCACCATATAAAAAAAAAAATCTTGATGCACACAGTTCAAGATGAGAAAGACAAAACTGTGACTGTGTGCATGGTTTAAAATAGCTAATTTGTGGTGTATTTTTGGACAGTTTTATGGTTTTATTGATAGTTTCTTTGTATCATTCAATAGAATGGAAGACATTACAGAAATAGAGATGATTTTGATTGGTTTCTGGACTGTAAGTAGCTTTAAACTGAGATAAAACTAACAGAAATATTTGATTTTTTGTCGATGTTCCACCCTTCAAAGGTTCCTTGACACTGTGTGGTGGGAGAGAATGTGGTGGGAGACAGTGTGTGGTGGGACATAGTGTGTGGTGGGAGGCAGTGTGGTGGAAGACAGTGTGTGGTGAGAGGGGGGGAGGGGTGGGTGGTGGTGAGAGACAGTGTGTGGTGGGAGACAGTATGTGGTGGGAGACAGTGTGTGGTGAGTCAGTGTGGTGGGAGACGGTGTGTGGTGAGACAGTGTATGGTGAGAGACAGTGTGTAATGGGAGACAGTGTGTGGTGGGAGGCAGTGTGTGATGGGAGACAGTGTGTGATGGGATACAGTGTGGTGAGACTGTGTAGTGAGAGACAGTGTGTGGTGGGAGGCAGTGTGTGATGGGAGACAGTGTGTGATGGGATACAGTGTGGTGGGAGACAGTGTGTGATGGGTGACAGTGTCGTGAGAGTGTGTGGTGGGAGACTGTGTGATCGGAGACAGTGTGGTGAGACAGTGTGTGGTGGAAGACAGTGTGTGATGGGAGAGTGTGTGATGGGAGACTGTGTGGTGGGAGACAGTGTGGTGAGACAGTGTGTGATAGGAGACAGTGTGGTGATACAGTGTGTGGTGGAAGACTGTGTGGTGAGACAGTGTGTGATTTGAGACTGTGATGAGAGACAGTGTGGTGAGACAGTGTGTGATGGGAGACAGTGTGGTGATACAGTGTGTGATGGACGACAGTGTGTGATGGGAGAGTGTGTGATGGGAGACTGTGGTGGGAGACAGTGTGGTGAGACAGTGTGTGATGGGAGACAGTGTGGTGATACAGTGTGGGATGGACGACAGTGTGTGGAGGGGAGACTGTGGTGAGTGTGTGGTGGGAGGCAGTGTGTGGTGGGAGACAGTGTGTGTGGGGATACAGTGTGGTGGGAGACTGTGAGAGACAGTGTGTGATGGGAGACAGTGCGTGGTGGGAGACAGTGGGTGGTGGGAGAGTGTGTGATGGGAGACAGTGTGGTGAGACAGTGTGTGATGGGAGACAGTGTGGTGAGACAGTGTGTGGAGGGAGATTGTGGTGAGTGTGTGGTGGGAGTGCAGTGTGTGGTGGGAGACAGTGTGTGGTGAGTGAGTTAGGTGTGGTGAGAGAGACAGTGTGGTGAGAGACAGTGTGTGGTGGGAGACTGTGTGGGGCGAAGACAGTGTGTGGTGGGATACAGTGTGTGGTGAGAGAGAAGTGTGTGGTGGGAGATAGTGTGTGGTGGGAGAGAATGTGGTGGGAGACAGTGTGTTGTGAGTCAGTGTGCTGGGAGACAGTGTGTGGTGAGTGAGTGTGTGGTGAGACAGTGTGTGGTGAGAGACAGTGTGTGGTGAGAGACAGAATGTAATAGGAGACAGTGTGTGGTGGGAGGCAGTGTGGTGGGAGACAGTGTGTGGTGAGAGACAGTGTGATAGATGTGCAATGGGAGACTGTGTGGTGGGAGACAGTGTGTGGTGCAAGACAGTGTGTGGTGAGAGACAGTGTGTGGTGAGACTGTGTGGTGACAGTGTGTGGTGGGAGACAGTGTGTGGTGAGTCAGTGTGGTGGAAGACAGTGTGTAGTGAGAGACAGTGTGTGGTGAGAGACAGTGTGTAATGGGAGACAGTGTGTGGTGGGAGAAAGTGTGTGGTGAGAGGCAGTGTGGTGGGAGACAGTGTGTGGTGGGAGATATTGTGTAGATGGTGGGAGAGAATGGTGATATGGGTGAGACAGTGGTGTTGTGAGTCAGTGTGGTGGGAGAGTGTGTGGTGAGTCAGTGTGGTGTGAGACAGTGTGTGGTGAGAGACAGTGTGCAATGGGAGACAGTGTTGATGTGGTGGGAGAAAGTGTGTGGTGGGAGGCAGTGTGGTGGGAGACAGTGTGTGGTGGGAGATAGTGTGTGGTGGGAGAGAATGTGGTGGGAGACAGTGTGTTGTGAGTCAGTGAGGTGGGAGACAGTGTGTGGTGAGTGACAGTGTGTGGTGGAGAGTGTGTGGTGAGAGACAGAATGTAATAGGAGACAGTGTGTGGTGGGAGACAGTGCGTGGTGAGTCAGTGTGGTGTGAGACAGGTGTGTGGTGGGGAGACAGTGTGTGGTGAGAGACTGTGTGATTGGAGACAGTGTGTGGTGGGACAGTGTGTGGTGAGAGACAGTGTGTGGTGAGATACAGTGTGTAATGGGAGACTGTGGTGGGAGACAGTGTGTGGTGGGAGACAGTGTGTGGTGGAAGACAGTGTGTGGTGAGAGACAGTGTGTGGTGAGAGAGTGTGTGGTGAGAGACAGTGTGTGGTGGGAGACAGTAAGTGGTGGGAGAGTGTGTGGTGAGACAGTGTGTGGTGGGAGACAGTGTGTGGTGAGAGATAGTGTGTGGTGGGAGACAGTGTGTGGTGAGAGACAGTGTGTAATGGGAGACTGTGTGGTGAGAGACAGTGTGTGTTGAGAGACAGTGTGTAATGGGAGACAGTGTGTGGTGAGAGACAGTGTGTGGTGAGAGACAGTGTGTAATGGGAGACAGTGTGTGATGGGAGACAGTGTGTGGTGGGAGACTGTGTGGCGAGAGTGTGTTGGGAGACAGTGTGTGGTGGGAGAAAGTGTGTGGTGGGAGGCAGTGTGGTGGGAGACAGTGTTTGGTGGGACATAGTGTGTGGTGCGAGAGAATGTGTTGGGAGACAGTGTGTGGTGAGAGACAGTGTGTAATGGGAGACAGTGTGGTGGGAGACAGTGTGTTGTGAGTCAGTGTGGTGGGAGAAAGTGTGTGGTGGGAGACAGTGTGTGGTGAGTCAGTGTGGTGGGAGACAGTGTGTAGTGAGAGACAGTGTGTGGTGAGAGACAGTGTGTGGTGAGAGACAGTGTGTAATGGGAGACAGTGTGTGGTGGGAGACAGTGTGTTGTGAGTCAGTGTGGTGGGAGACAGTGTGTGGTGGGAGACAGTGTGTGGTGGGAGACAGTGTGTGGTGAGAGACAGTGTGTGGTGGGAGACAGTATGTGGTGGGAGACAGTGTGTGGTGAGTCAGTGTGGTGGGAGACAGTGTGTGGTGAGAGACAGTGTATAATGGGAGACAGTGTGTGGTGGGAGGCAGTGTGTGATGGGATACAGTGTGGTGAGGCAGTGTGGTGGGAGACAGTGTGTGATGGGATACAGTGTGGTGAGACAGTGTGTGATGGGAGACAGTGTGGTGATACAGTGTGTGATGGACGACAGTGTGCGATGGGAGAGTGTGTGATGGGAGACTGTGTGGTGGGAGACAGTGTGGTGATACAGTGTGTGATGGACGACAGTGTGTGATGGGAGACAGTGTGGTGAGACAGTGTGTGGAGGGAGACTGTGGTGAGTGTGTGGTGGGAGGCAGTGTGTGGTGGGAGACAGTGTGTGGCGAGACAGTGTGGTGGGAGACTGTGAGAGACAGTGTGTGATGGGAGACAGTGCGTGGTGGGAGACAGTGGGTGGTGGGAGAGTGTGTGGTGGGAGACAGTGTGTGGTGAGAGATAGTGTGTGGTGGGAGACAGTGTATGGTGAGAGACAGTGTGGTGAGAGACAGTTTGTGGTGGGAGACTGTGTGGCGAGAGACAGTGTGTGGTGGGAGACAGTGTGTGGTGAGTCAGTGTGGTGGGACAGTGTGTGGTGGGAGACAGTGTGTGGTGAGAGTGTGTAATGGGAGACTGTGTGGTGGGAGACAGTGTGTGGTGGGAGACAGTGTGTGGTGGAAGACAGTGTGTGGTGAGAGACAGTGTGGTGGTGAATCAGTGTGTGGGGAGAGACAGTGTGTGGTGAGAGACAGTGTGTGGTTGGAGACAGTGTGCTGGTGGAGACAGTGTGTGGTGGGAGACAGTGTTGGTGAAGACAGTGTGTGGTGAGAGACAGTGGTAGACCAGTGTGTGGTGAGGTGTGGGTGAGAAACTGTGTGGGAGACAGTGTGTGGTGGGAGACAGTGTTGTGGTGAGACAGTGTGTGTGAAGACTGTGGATGAGAGACAGTGTGGTGGAGACAGTGTGTTTAAACCTTGGAGTTTTACCTGGCAGAGTTCCGGGGTCAAAAGCCACCGCGGCCGGTTCTTGTGACCAGCCTCCTGGTGGATCAGAGCCTGAATCAACCAGGCTGTTGCTGCTGGCTGCACCAAACAACGTACGACCACAGCCCGCTGGTCAGTGAAGCCGACTTTAGGTGCTTGTCCAGTGCCAGCTTGAAGACTGCCAGGGGTCTGGTGGTAATCCCCCTTATTGTAATAAAGTTGGTAGAATTACCGACAATATGTAAAGTAAAAGGACACAAGTGCAACTAATGTGACATTTTATTGTGGCAACGTTTCGCTCTCCAGGAACTTTATCAAGCCATTACAAACAATACATGGACACAGAGGGTATATATAGGCTCAGAGTGAGGTGCAATACTAGTGAGGTACCATTTCGATGTTCACTAGTGGTAGTAGTATAGTAGTGACAAAGTTTTTTATTTTTTTATTATCACACTGGCCGATTCCCACCAAGGCAGGGTGGCCCGAAAAAGAAAAACTTTCACCATCATTCACTCCATCACTGTCTTGCCAGAAGGGTGCTTTACACTACAGTTTTTAACTGTAACATTAACACCCCTCTCAGAGTGCATGCCCCTGTACTTCCCATCTCAGGACTCAAGTTCCGGCCTGCCGTTTCCCTGAACCCTTCATAAATTGTTACTTTTGCTCACACTTCCCAAAAGCACGTCAAGTATTAAAAACATTCGTCTCCATTCACTCCCATCAAACACGCTCACGCACGCCTGCTGGAAGTCCAAGCCCCAGCACACAAAACCTCCTTTCCCCCTCCCTCCAACCTTTCCTAGCCGACCCCTACCCCCTTCCTTCCACTACTAGACGATACACTCTTGAAGTCATTCTGTTTCGCTCCATTCTCTCTACATGTCCGAACCACCTCAACAACCCTTCCTCATCCCTCTGGACAACAGTTTTGGTAATCCCGCACCTCCTCCTAACTTCCAAACTACGAATTCTCTGCATTA